TCATTTTTTATAAATCCAGAAAAAGAGAAAGAAAAAGAAAAAGAAAAAAAAATACCTATTTTGACATGTGCCTGGTCTGAAAAATACGAAAATATATGTTTTTAACAAAAATAGAAAATTGGAGAAATAAAATGACAAATTTTCTAAATTTGTGAGTAGCAAAGGTTTAAAATTTCAAGAAGAAATCAAAGAAAAATTTGATGAGTAAACTTAGGGTTTATATAGTATGAAAGATGAGTGAAATTAGAATTTTGAAAAATATAAAAAATCAAGAAGATGAAAGATGAAAAGAAAAAAAATGAAAGATGAAAAGAAAAAAACTTACTTACAAGCTTACAAATGATTTGTAAAAGGTTCGGTGATGCTTGATGATGGGAGCAACGTAGTAGAAAGAGGCAAAGAACAAGTCGTCAAAGAAGTGTAGTTTTGGATAGATTAAAAAATTACCGTTAGAAATTTGGTATAGAATTTAAGTTTATTTTAATTTGGGTCCAAAATAAGTTGTCTTAATTTAGTATATGTTTGAATTTAATGTTGGAGAAATTTTTTAGATTATTTTGACTTAAATTTAAATTTGAGTCTACATGTGAGTCAAGGTTGGAGATGTTCTAACAAACATATAATTAAATTGAGAAATAATACTTGATGGGTTAAGCCCAAGTAGTCCAATTTATGTATTAAAGCCCAACCCCGGTTGAGGAGCCCAACCTCATCGTGAACCCACCAAGTCCAAGACAGACTAAGACCGGCTAGACTTCTTGCTTAGCACGCCACCAAGAGGAGAGCACGGTTGGACTTCTTGCTTAGCACGTCTCCAAGAGGAGAGCACGGTTGGACTTCTTGCTTAGCACGTCACCAAGAGGAGAGCACAAGAAGCTTATCAACGGTCCAATCTTTGACCACGTTTCCTTCAAGAGTTCCCCAAACTCTTCCTTCCGTTGAGAATAAGTCGTGATCTCCACCGAAGATAATCTCTAAGCTGCGATAAAGAAGCTTTGAGGATATGTTATGATCTCCACAAGAATGATCTCTTATCTACTATAAAATGGCTCTAATCTGAGAGAGAAAGGGAGACACCCCACCAGAGGCATACAGAAGACGAACCGACTACCAGAGATTATTATTTTTCTTTGATTCTCCATTCTCTCTCTCAAAGCTTGTATCTCCATTCTCCATACCTTTGAATCAATAAAATACCCGGCAACTGAAGCCATTGAAGAGTGGACGTAGGTCGAATTGACCGAACCACTATAAATTGTGTCTTCTTTAATTTTCTCATTGATTTCATTGCATTTATTATCCATACTTGACAGGTGGTGTGCAAAACCATTTTTGTGCATCATCAGTTTGGCGCCGTCTGTGGGAAACGACAAAATTCTCACTCCTGAACATTACGTCCATTAACTAATGGCGATCACTACTCGATCCATGAACCAACACGAAGACAATCCTCCACGAGAGGAGGAGGTTGCCCCCCCGCCTATCAACCCTGTTCCGAATACTTTAGCCCCGAATCTCCAACAAATATTGGAGACCATGCAGCAACTGGTTGCTCAAAACCAACAGTTACTGCAACTCATACTTGCTGGACAAGGAGTAGCACCACACGGAGGTGCACAACATGGAGGACCCCAAGGTGGAGCACCACACGGAGGTGCACAACATGGAGGACCCCAAGGTGGAGCACCACATGGAGGTGCACAACATGGAGGGCCCCATGGAGGTGCACAACATAGAGCACCCCAAGGAGCTCCACATCCTGGACATCAAGAAGCACCACGCCCTGTTACTCCACGCCCGGGTGCCCCATTGGGCACCCCACTTCGGAAAGCCCAACATGAGGGAGCTGCACCTCCCCCTCCCCTTGCTTTCCAGGGAAAGGACCCTTATCTCCAGGAGGATGAGGGTGAAAACCAAAGCATGGGGCATGGAAGCCACTTCCATGATCATTCCAGAAGAGCCCCCAATCATTGGGACGAGAAGATAAAGGAGGTACAGAATCAACTCGGTGATGTCTTCAACGCCATGAAGGCACAAGGACCCGAGACTGTTGACCACCTGGTAAGGCGTACTGATACCCCTTTCAAATTCGATGTAGCAAACTACCCCCTCCCTCAGAAGTTCAAAATGCCATCTGTGGAGACCTTTGATGGAACAAAGGATCCACTGGACCACCTTGACACTTACAAGACCTTGATGCAATTGCACAACGTACCAGACGAAATCATGTGCAGGGCATTCCCAACCACATTAACAGGGTCTGCCCGACAGTGGTTTGCTAAGCTCTCCCCCGCCTCTATTACCTCTTTTGCCGAGCTTAGCAGATCATTCGTCTCACACTTCATAGGAGGGCGTCGCCACCAGAAGCCAGTTACGCACCTGCTTAGTATAAAGCAGGACCGCAAGGAGAGCCTGAGGAGTTATCTCACTCGTTTTAACGAGGAGGTACTCCAAGTTGATGAACCCAACGACAAGGTGACGATGACCGCCTTCTTGGGTGGCCTCCGTTCATCAAGTTTCCTTTTCTCGGTTCTGAAGCACCCACCGAAGAGCATGCCAGAACTATTCACAAAAGCTCAAAGATATATGAATGCTGAGGAAATCAACAAGTTTAGGCAAGGTGAATCATCTCACAGATCACCAGAAACTTGACCTGCCTCTGCACTGTTCTCAAACAGGCAGTCTATCTCCGGCTTAGCGGCTCTCTCACGGGTCGCTAAAAAACTTAGCCTCTGTACTGTTCTCAAACAGGCAGTCTATCTCCGATTTAGTGGCTCTCTCACGGGTCGCCAAAAAACTTGGCCTCTGCACTATTCTCAAATAGGCAGCCTATCTCCAGTTTAGCGGCTCTCTCACGGGTCGCCAAAAAACTTGGCCTCTGCACTGTTCTCAAACAGGCAGCCTATCTTCAGTTTAGCGATTCTCTCACGGATCGCCAAAAAACTTGGCCTCTGCACTGTTTTCAAACAGGCAGCCTATCTCCAGTTTAGCGGTTCTCTCATGGATCGGCAAAAAAAAAAAAAAAAAAAAAAAAACAAAACAAAATAAAACTTGGCCTCTGCACTGTTCTCAAACAGGCAGCCTATCTCCAGCTTAGCGGCTCTCTCACGGGTCACCAAAAAAGCTTGACCTCTGCACTGTTCTCAAACAGGAAGCTTATACCTCAAGCTTAAAGACTCCCTCATGGGTCGCCAAAAGCTAGGTCTCAAAAAGTGTAGCTCTCTCACGAGCAGTTCTCCAACTCTGTCTTTGCTCTCGCGCAAGCAGCCTACTTCTCTCTCTCTCCAGGTAATTATGTGAGATATTTTAATGTTTGAAATAACATTATTTTTGTCATCACAAGCAGGCTCTCCCGAGGTAGCCCCAGGGTCACCCAAGGCGCCCAGCACCTGGAGAAGGGCTTGATCATCAAGAGCAGCACCCAAAGCTTCCCTACTGCTTGCAATTTCTAGCCCAACGCCTGAAAGTGTGCCTGACTGCTGTTGCTCATCCAAACAAAGTTGCCCAGTAGCTTGAAGGGTGCTTGGCCTTTCAATATTACACAAAGAAGAATTTTTGGCGCAAAAATCAGCACCTAAGGCGCCCAAATCAGTACCTCGAATGAGAATCGGATTAGCCCGTGCTCCCAGGCCACTGCCTAGCTCTCCCTGACAAACCTTGGACTGATTTTCAGCGCCCCCCGATGGAAAAATGCTGCTGCCCAGCGTTCCAAAGCCGCCCAGCGCACCTGGGCTGTCCAGGACAGCAAGGCCAGTGCCCAGGCAGCTGCCCAGTGCGCCTGAGCTGTCCAGGATGTGAGGAGCAGAGCCTAGGAAAGCCGCCCAGGCCCCCAGCGCCTGCGCTGCCCAGCTGCGTGCGCGCCTGCGCGCCTGCGCGCCCAGCGCCCGCGCGCGCCTGCGCGCCTGCGCGCCCGCGCGCCCAGCGCCCGCGCGCCCAGCGCCTGCGCTGCCCAGCTGTGCGCCCAGCGCGCCTGCGCTGCCCAATCGCGTGCCCAGCTGTCTCCCTTTCTTCAACCTCCACCACTCCCTCTTCAAAATAAAATGGGAAAGATTTGAAGTTTAAAAAAAAAAAAAAAAAAAAAAAAAAAATGTAATCAATGCCTCCTTCTCCAAGTTTCCTTGGACATGGGGCATCGGGGGGCAAATGATGGGTTAAGCCCAAGTAGTCCAATTTATGTATTAAAGCCCAACCCCGGTTGAGGAGCCCAACCTCATCGTGAACCCACCAAGTCCAAGACAGACTAAGACCGGCTAGACTTCTTGCTTAGCACGCCACCAAGAGGAGAGCACGGTTGGACTTCTTGCTTAGCACGTCTCGAAGAGGAGAGCACGGTTGGACTTCTTGCTTAGCACGTCACCAAGAGGAGAGCACAAGAAGCTTATCAACGGTCCAATCTTTGACCACGTTTCCTTCAAGAGTTCCCCAAACTCTTCCTTCCGTTGAGAATAAGTCGTGATCTCCACCGAAGATAATCTCTAAGCTGCGATAAAGAAGCTTTGAGGATATGTTATGATCTCCACAAGAATGATCTCTTATCTACTATAAAATGGCTCTAATCTGAGAGAGAAAGGGAGACACCCCACCAGAGGCATACAGAAGACGAACCGACTACCAGAGATTATTATTTTTCTTTGATTCTCCATTCTCTCTCTCAAAGCTTGTATCTCCATTCTCCATACCTTTGAATCAATAAAATACCCGGCAACTGAAGCCATTGAAGAGTGGACGTAGGTCGAATTGACCGAACCACTATAAATTGTGTCTTCTTTAATTTTCTCATTGATTCCATTGCATTTATTATCCATACTTGACAGGTGGTGTGCAAAACCATTTTTGTGCATCATCAATACTAGTTTATATTTTACTGAAAAAAATTCATATCTAAAATGTAATTTTATAAGTGTATGAAATAAGATAGGTGATGAAACTTTAATTACAACAAAATATAAAGTGAATTTATTTATTAAAGAAGAGGTATATAACATTGGGCGAGTTTAATACTTTGATAACAAAAATTTAAATAAGGTGAAAATAACCGAATTCCGTGCCTTTGGGGTGTTGTATTCCATCGCCAAATCTGCCTATGAGCCTAAACGACCAGCATCTTTGAGCCACTTACTGTGTAAAACTAAGTCATTTGGTGATAAGTGCCGACTTCCTCTTCCTCTTCTTTATTCCGAGAGTCATTGATGATGATGACAACGGAAGGCGTGGCTCCAAAACTCGCTTTTGTCAACTTCCCCGACACCGGCCTCACCCGTCGGAGTTCTAGAATCTTCCAGGTCGGCCACCGCAGATTTTCCTCCTCTGTGATAACAGCCTCAGCTTCTTCAGTTATCAACCAACACGACGAGAAACTTGGACCGAGTTCGCTTGGACACATCAGTCGACCTCATTTCCCCATTCTCCACCAGGTATTCGAAACGAAGACCCAATTAATCTTGTGTTTCATTGCAAAGTTGCCTGTGAAAAATTAAATTACTGTTTCTTTGGTATTGGTGGGGACTGGGAGAGGACTTTGCGTTTCACCACAAGATTTGGATATAGTGTTAGGCACCTCATACGTATGGGCTGCCACCTGCACACCTATACATATGATTATTTTTTTAGATTTTTATTCTTTTCTTAGGTTTGGGATTTCTATCCTAAAATAGTTGTGTGGATAGAAATTATGAATAATTGGGTCAGATTAGGAGAAAATAAAATATTCATTACAACGGTGATAACATGGGTCAAGTGATGTGGTATCACCAACTAATAATACTAAAATAAATAAGCAAATGAACACACAAAAATTCATAACTAACCTACCATATAAAGAAATAATTCCTCACCCTTTTGCCATGTAAGCTCAAAAAGGGTTCATCTTTTTCATTTGGGGTTTTATTATTGGTTGGTGATGACATGGTATCACCATTGTATTCAATATTTACTCTCAGATTAGGAGTTTATCGGGCCAAGAGTTGTAATTGACAAGGAGTCTAGTTAGGAGGTCTAATCAATTTCTCATAAGATTCTTGGATCCTATCATCTGGTATCAGAGCAGTTCAATTCCTAGTATCATCATGGTTACTGTGAAAGAATTGATTGAACATGTTAAGCAAATGGAGTCATGGATGGATCGACTTGTGGATGGAGTTTAGGAAATCAGAGAAGAGACGCCATTCATGTGATTTAGGCATCCTTAGACCAACTGGCGATGGCCCCTCATGCAGACCGACAAGCCCCTTTTGCTCCAGTTGCACCGCAAATGGCGGATCAGCAACCAGTAAATTTGCAAGATGGACTGGTTTTACAAGGGCGGCCGATTCATATTGATTTTCCAAGATTTGATGGTGAAAATCCAGACGGTTTGATTTTTCAAGTTGAGCAATATCAACACCTCTATGGACTCACTGATGCACAAATGGTGCCATTGTCTTCCATTCACCTAACCGGAGTGGCTACGTCGTGGTATTGCTGGATGATTCGTTCAATAGGTGTCATGTCTTGGACACAATTCATTATGGCTTTGTGTTTATGTTTTGGTTCGCGAGAAGATATGGACCCCACAACTTCTTTGTCTAAGCTTCAGCAGACTAGTTCCGTGCGAGACCACTGAACGAAGTTTGAAATTTTGGCAAACCAGGTAAATGATTTACTTGAATCCTATTTGATTAGTTGTTTCATTTTGGGACTACGTGAAGACATCAAGGTTGGGGTCCGTCTTTTGCGTCCTTTGACTTTGTCAGAAGCCTTTGATTTGACCATTTGTCCAGAGAAGTCTGTTTGTGCTTTACAAGCCTACTCCATCAAGAAAACACAACAGAAATCAGGCCCTAATCGAAACCAGGTACAAACTACTTCAATTTCTCCTTACACGGCATCCACAAGCTTACCGCCCATCAAGCGTCTCACTAGTTTCGAATCAAAAGAGAGGTGAGAAAAGGGGCTATGCTTTAATTATGATGAACTTTTCAAGCCTGGCCATTGTTGCAAGCGTCCTCAACTGTTGTTCATGGAAGGAGATGATGCACCAAAACACGACCAGAAGGCAAATGAGGAAGACTCTTCCGGGCCGGAGATTTTCATTCATGCAATTTCAGGCACCAATCAGCTCAAAACATGCAAATTACGGGCTATTTAAAGCCTATTATAGTGTTGGTCAACTCTGGATCAATCCATAATTTTTTATAGCCTTCTTTATCTCAGCGTTGTGGTTATCTTGTGTACAACACCGCTCCGATTCACGTGACCATTGCCAACAGAGGTATTCTTCATAGTCATCGTAAGTGTAATAGAGTTGGCATAAATTTGCAAGGGTATTGCTTTAAATCTGATTTTTTCTTATTACTGGTGAGTGGATCTGATATTGTCCCGGGGGCTGCGTGGCTTCATTCCTTAGGCGCCATTACTTGGGACTCTTTTAAATTAATTATGAAGTTTATTTTGGATGGCCAAGAGTTCAAGTTAGTAGGTAATAGATCCTCAATCAACACTGTTGTTGACCAAGGCGAACCTCACAAGTAAACGCTTCAAATTGACTAAGTATTCTTGTTACAATTGGTGGCTGCAAACTTTTCTGTAACGTGGCAAGAGGTTTCTCCTGAAATCGGCCATATTCTTGACCATTTTATGGATGTGTTTGGTGACCCCAAGGGACTTCCTCCTACACACACTCAAAACCATCGTATTCCACTGATTCCAGGTTGTGTTCCAACCAATGCTCGACTGTACTATTATTCTTATTTTCAAAAGGATGAGATCGATAGATTGGTTAAGGAAATGTTGGTTGTTGGCTTGATTAGACCAATTGTTAGTCCTTATTCATCCCCAATGCTACTAATGCGGAAAAAAGATGGTTCTTGGGGGTTGTGCGTGGACTATTGCTCCGTTAATAGTATTATAGTGAAGGATCGCTTTCCCATTCTAGTTATTGATGAGCTTCTAGATGAGCTGCATGGTGCTGTGATTTTTTCTAAGTTGGATCTCCAATCCGGTTATCATCAAATTCGTATTCATGCACAAGATATTCCAAAGACTGCATTTTGCACTCATGATTGCCACTATGAATTTCTTGTCATGCCTTTTGGGCTTTCTAATGCACGAGCTTCCTTTCAAAGTTTGATGAATGATATATTTTGGCCTCACTTACGGAGTTTTTTTTGATGATATACTAGTCTATAGCAAATCTGTTCAAGATCATATTGAACATTTGTCATTAGTGTTATGATGCTTGCGCCAGAATCAACTATATGCTAAACAGACCAAGTGTTCTTTTTTCAAGTCATCCATGGACTATCTTGGCCATATTATTTCTGGAGAAGGGGTTTTGGTGGATCTTGAAAAAATTCGTTGCATGGTTGAGTGGCCTAAACACAAAATTCTTAAGGCTCTACGTTGGTTTTTGGGGCTCATAGGCTATTATAGAAAATTTGTGCAAAATTATGGTCAAATTGTGGCATCCTTAACTCACATGCTCAAAAAAGATTCTTTTGGATGGTCCTCAGATGCAAAAATTGCTTTTGAGAAATTAAAGCATACAATGACAACCACACCAGTGTTAGCGTTGCCTGATTTCTCTCAAAAATTTGTTCTAAAATGCGATGCTTCAGGTAGTGGAATTGGTGTCATTCTTATATAGCAAGGCCCAATCTTAGCCTTTGTTTGGGAAAAATTTAAATCTCTCGGTCTATGATAGAGAAATGATTGCCATAGTCTTTGTAGTGAACAAATGGCGACATATTTATTAGGTCGTCACTTCACAATTCTTTCTGATCATAAAAGCTTGAAATTTTTTATGGATCAACATGTTCATCGCTTGAGCAACAAAAGTGGGTTACCAAGCTATTAGGATATGATTATAAGATAGTGTTTCGAAAGAGAGTAAAAAATCAGGCAGCTGATGCTTTGTCTAGGCAACCTGAAGAATCTACCTTAACTGCTATTTCTTCCCCTATTTTTTCTGCTATCAGTGAGATCACTGCACAATGCTTACAACAAGGTGTGTCTACAGATTCGGGTTATTCTCTTCGTGATGGTGTTTTACGTTATAGAGAGCGTGTGGTGGTTCCTCCTTCTTCTCCTTGGTGTTTCAAAATTCTGTGGGAATTCTATGCTTCCCAAATTGGTTGTTATTGCGGGTTCTTACGGACTTATAAGCACATCCAACACAATTTTTATTGAAAAGGTCTCAAAAGGGCTGTTAAGAAGTTTGTTGCTGAGGGCGATGTTTGCCAATGGAATAAATCTATAAGTATCTCTCCACCTGGGTTGCAACAACCTCTACCAATTCTGGAGGAAGTGTGGACCGGTATTTCTATGGATTTCATTGATGGTTTACCTCCTTCATTTCACAAAACTTCTATTATAGTTGTAGTTGGTCGACTATCCAAATATGCCCACTTCTGTGCACTTGTGCATCCTTATTGAGCAACTATGGTGGCTGAAATTTTTGTTTGGGATATTGCACATTTACATGGGATGCCCAAATCCATTGTTAGTGATCAAGATCCTGTTTTCACAAGTCAATTTTGGGAAGCCTTTTTGGAATTGCGGGGCACTATTTTTTGTTGAAGTTCGGCTTACCATCCCCAATCAGATGGGCAGACTGAAGTGGTTAACTGGTCCGTTGAGGCTTATTTGCGTTGCTTTGCAAGCCAACAACCTTCCGGTTGGACAAAGTAATTACCAGGGGCTGAATGGTGGTATAACACTTCCTTTCAACCTTCATCGAAAATGACGCCTTTTCAAGCGTTTGTGGTCGGCCTCCATAGCACATTGCTTCATACCTTCCCCACACTACTGTTGTTCATTCTATAGATGTTGCTTTGCGCGATCGTGATAGTATACTGCGGCTACTCAAGGAAAATTTAATTGCTGCCTAGTCTCGCATGAAATATTTTACTGATCGTCATCGAACCGAACACTCTTTTTGTTTGGGAGATTGGGTTTTTCTCAGTCTTCATCCATATCGACAAATTTCCATGGGCCCCGCGGCCCATATAAGCTCTCACCTTGATTTTATGGACCTTTTTCGTGTTCTTTCACGCAGTGGAGAAGTCGCTTATAAACTGGATTTGCCGATAGAATGTCATATCCATCCAATTATTCACGTTTCTTGCCTCAAAAAGAAACTTGGAGAGATGGTGCAACCAGGTCCACAGCTCTTTCCCATTTCTGATAGTGGCGTTACTACTTGGTAGCCACTTCGCATTTTGGATCGTGGTTTGTTTAGGCGCAACAATAGGCCGGTTATATGCCCTTGTCCAGTGGACTGGATTTTCTGCTATTGATGTAACTTGGGAGGATTATTCAGAATTTGTTACTCATTTTCCAGCTTTTCCAACTTGAGGACAAGATGGGATTTTATGCTGGGGTGGATGTTGGGCACATCCTACGTAAGGGCTGCCACCTGCACACCTATACATATGATTATTTTTTTAGATTTTTATTCTTTTCTTAGGTTTGAGATTTCTATCTTAAAATAGTTGTGGGGATAGAAATTATGAATAATTGGGTCAGATTAGGAGTTTATTGAGCCAATAGTTGTAATTGGCAAGGAGTCTAGTTAGTAGGAGTCTAAATGAAGGTCTATTCTATTTATTTCATCCTGAAAATTGTTTTTGGACAGAAATTTTTTTAATAAAAGTTGGAGGACAATTCCCCTTGAAGTGAATCAATTTCTCACAGGATCTTTGGATCCTATCCTATAGATTTTGTGCAACATTTTTTTAATGTTTTGTAAAAATGGATTAGGATACTGCTAACCAGGAAAGAGGTAAGGTTTTTTCCTAAGGGGGCCAAATAGTGGCATAAACAGAGCTTTTTCAATAGGATGATTCAATGATTTATCTTTATTCTCAGATTTTTATATTTAGAATCTATCAAATTAAATTTTCACGCACTAAATGGTAGTCATGTTTAGTTTCACTTTTAAGAAATGCAATCCAGACCTGATAAATCAAATAAATGCAAACTAATTTCAGGACACTCCATAAAAAGATGAACACTTTTAGTTTAATTTCATCATATTATCACTTGAGTTCAGCTAAATTTCCCCATGCCTAGAGAAAGACATGATGATTTTATTTTACATCTCAATAATTGATTTGAACACATTATACCATTAAGTTATTAACCATTTAAGTTAGTGACATTTTTAAAGAATCATTGAATTTTGGTTTTCCATAAACTGTTACTTTTCTGGCAAAATAGTCCAGGGCCTATGTTGAATAGTTTATGGTATAATCTGTTTAAATCAATAGTCAAGGTGTAAGATGAAATCATGGCCATGATTTATGGATATAATGCATAATTTTAAAAACTTGATTGACAATGTAAAGTGAAACCTAGAACATAACTTTGAGCTTAAAGTAAAATTTTGAAATGAGGGTGCCAATTTAAAAGGTATAAAGAATAATTTTAAAACCCCTCCTTGGTTAAAGCATGGCTCCATCACTACCTGTACTGTATTAGACATCCTCAATTCAAGGTCATTCTTCACATATTGGGAAGGATGTATTTGAAAATAAAAGGTTCCACTTGGACATGGTGCATGCTTTATAGTATGGAGAATGAAAAGAATCTAGTACATGCATGTCTTTAATAAAGTTTTCCACTAGAAAGTTACTTCATTGGTTGCAAGAGGCATTAGGAGGTTAAGTAGCCAGACATTGAAAAACTATAGTACTTGATAGGTCATTCACAATCAGGATGGATCCGCAAAGTAGGTTTTAGGGACAAACCCTTAGTACAGGTTTTGGGGCAATTTTGAAAGCTGGAAAAAGTTGGGGGTGGGGCCAAACTGTTTATAATTGGAAATTTCAACTGACAAATTGTAAGTAATTTTTTAAACCTTATGAACCTGTAATCCTTCACCCCCCCTTCTTTCTCATTTGCTAAGGAGCTTTTAGGGTTTGGTGGGAAATGAAGCAGATGCTGAAGAATATCTTTGGGCTTGAAGGAACTTGTTGGAGATTCTATAAGGCAATGCAATAACGAGATTCGGGCATTATTTTTTTTTCCTTTTGGTTGATATTTATTTAATTTATGTGATAAGGGTACATCCTTCAGTTTTCTACTTGTCTGTAAAATCCAATCCATTGCCAAGTCATGTGTACATGAAAACGCACTACTCTATGTGATAAGGGTATATCCTTCAGTTTCTGCTTATCTGTAAAATCCAATCTATTGCCAAGTCATGTGTACATGAAAACACACAATTCAAGTCTTTTTTATGCTGTCTTATTTATATGTGTGCAATAAACTGCCAAAAAAGGTAGCATAACTGCACATTGTGATGTTGTACCGGCCTGAAAGAAGTAGACGAAGAAAGGGAAGGAAAGAAAAACATGTTTGGTTGATCTGAATTTCTCCAAAAACAGCCAATTTCTACTTTTGAAAGTTCTTGATATATCTAACTCATCAGTCCTCTTCCCCTCCCCTATGCCCACCCTCTGCAAAAAATAATGATAGGAGCATGTGGGGCCTTAACTTACATGCCAAAGGCAGTCAATTTCCAAGTGTAACAAATATTTGGGTATTATATTTTTTGGGTTTTTTTTTTTTTGCTTAATAGAAGTCTATTCCATGCATATTGTTGAAATATAACATTTTCTAAGTCTTAGCATGATTTTGCAGGAGGTAAATGGCTCAAAACTTGTATACTTAGACAATGCTGCAACCTCTCAGAAACCCATTGCTGTCTTGAAGGCTTTGCAGAAATATTATGAAGCCTACAATTCAAACGTCCATCGTGGCATTCATTTCTTGAGGTACTCAAATTTTATTTTTGTGGAAGGTCATTCAGTGTTTAGTTAATATGATATATCATTCTTGGTATCAAGGATCGAAATATTATTTCGGCCCATTGTTTCGGCCACATAAGAAACAAAAACATTTCGAACATGTTTTGGAAACGTTTCAAAAACATAATGGATAAAATAATTTAGAAATTTATTTTCAAAACTTTTCAACACATTTAAATATATCTAAATATATTGAAACACCTCAAAATATTCTAAAATATTGTTAAAAACATGCTAAAGCATCTCGAAACAATTCAAAACATTCCAAAATATCTCGAAGCCCAAGAATTTCGATTCAATTATTGATTTATTTTGATTGCCTTGGAAACGAAAATGTTTCGGTTTGAAACGATATTTTGATTATTTCTTGGTATCATTTCATTGTTATTGATACTTTTATAATGAATTTTGTTAGATCAGTATTTTCATGGCTGTTGGGATTGTTTCAATAATTGGTGTTGCTAGTATTATTATTAGCTAAGAAGCATAGATACGGATACAGGACACGAATACGACACAACATTTTTCAAAAAGTAGGACACGGACACATTAGGGATACGATATAGATTGTTATGTTTTATATATAAAATCATATAATCTATCACAATTATAGTGATAATGATAGTACTTCATGATAAGTAAATATTATGACTAGTCATCTAGTTTAAATTTTTAGATTAACATCATAATAGTTAATAATTATCAATGTTTTGTGGACGTGTACTAAACATATATAATTTAAACGATTGTTCTCATTTTCTCAATTGCTCTTTTCTAAATCTTTAATGTATCATTTTTTTTGTTATTATATTTTAAGTATAACTTTAACATGTTTAGTATTGGTAATTATATGCTATAAGATATTTAGTAGCCTAATTTTTAAGTTTTGTTACTAGTAGGTCAATAATTGTTTATTGTTTAGTAGTAGAACCGAACTAAAGAAGTGTCAGACATGGTTCGAAATTTAAATTTTATCATTTAATTATGGACACAAAAAAAATAGTATTGGACACGTCCGGAGAGTGTTAGTGTCCAACATGAATACGCCACCGGTCTGTGCTTCATAGATTATTGGCCTAATATTTCTGTGTTGCTACTGCCCTCTCTAGTCACTAATGTTGTTTTTCTTTTTATTGTTTATAACGTTTAACTTTAAAGAGGCATCAGTGGAATTTCATAGACATTTAGAGTAGTAATGTCTCTTAAAGTTGTACACTGAATATACTATTTGTAATGGGAAGGGATTTTTGGTTGTATATTTGATTATGTCCAAGTAATCTTACCATTGTTTTGAATTTAGTGCAAAAGCAACGGATGAGTATGGATCTGCAAGGATAAAAGTGGCTTCTTTCATCAATGCATCTGATTCTAGAGAGATTGTTTTTACCAGAAATGCTACTGAAGCTATTAACCTAGTAGCTTTCTCTTGGGGACTTTCAAATCTAAAACCTGGAGATGAGGTATGCTTCTCTTGTACTTCACCCAATTATAATTTTTTCCTCTATGTTAGGATCTCAAGCTCTATAGTTTCTTAGGTTAGCTTTCGTCATTTGTATGATAGCAGATTTAACCTGATTCCTCGTGTATATTGATTGTTAATCATTTGATTTCTTGTATATTAGCAGTTGTATTTGTGATCTTTCTTGTTGGGGAATTGCATATAGACAAATGCAATTATTTTGTTTCTAGCCATAGAGATACCATTTGCTTGCTACCAGCCATGTGACACATAATAAATAGGTGACTCCCTGGAATTGTGCAATCCTTGCAACTATTTGGTCATTTGACGGGTCACTTGAAAGGAAAAGAACCCTAAATTTTTGAAGACCGATGTGAGTTAGTAGGAGACTTATGAGATGACATTCACTTTTTGACATCATTTCTGCTTTTTGCATCATATTATTCAATGATGGTTGTATCAAGGATTGAAAATTCGTTTCTATCAAACGATCAAAACAAATCAGTGATTAGATATCAAATTTTTTTGGAGGTGTTTCTGAATGTTTTGAGTTGTTTCGATGTGTTATATGAATTTTTTTTTCTTTTTTCATCCTGTTTTCGAAATATTTTTGAAATTTTATTTCTATTTCAGAGTTGGCCAGAATCATGTATCGAAACAAAATTTTGATCCATGAGTTGTACTTGCTTGCTAATATTTATTGGGAAAATATGAAAACTTCATTTGCTTTCGTAGTCCCATCTTTTGGTCACTTGTACTCCTTCACATATTTTTGGGAGACCACCTGACCCTTACCTTAGGGCTTCCATTTGAAAGTTGAGCTAAAGCGGCATATCTGCTTGGAACTTCCATTTTGAACAGTTGACCATTTTTTGCAGGTAATACTTACAATTGCCGAACATCATAGTGCTATTGTTCCTTGGCAATTTGTAGCCCAGAAGACTGGTGTGATCCTAAAGTTTGTGAGCTTGACTGAAAATGAAGTTCCTCATACTGAGCAGTTAAGGGAGATGCTTTCAACCAAGACAAAATTACTGGTTGTTCATCATGTCTCAAACATGCTTGGTAGACCTACCCTTCTCTCTTGGATAGTTTTTGTATCAACCATTCCCCATGCCTTTTTATCATACCATGTCTGGCACGTCAGGAGGAATGTGATGCCAGGCAATTCTTTAGTAGTGTTAATGTTAACATAGATTAGTCATGGTTTGAAGTACCTTATAGTAACAAGTATTAGTTATTAATGTTAAATTAGGAGGTGAATTTCAAAATGCACTTATATTGTATCCTAAATTCCTAATAAGTGAAGGTAATTGTCTCGGCATCATTTCCAACATAGCTGACACAAAGTTGTTTGTAGCAGGCTTTGTTTTGTTGAGTTGAGTTGAGTTGTATTTTTGCTGCCCCCAAATAAGGTATCCCAAGTATTGGAAGGTATTATATTTTAAAACAAATGCATTTCCAATATTAGACGGTTTCAGTCAATAAATGATGATGCATACTGTCTAAGAACAATTTGTATAAGCAAAATTCTGATAATTGGAGGTTTTGAGAATTCGTTTCCTTAAAAAAGCATTTTCTTCTTGGATAAGTAAGCTGGGTAATTAATACAAATGATAAAAGAAACGCATATTGGGAAGGGCAGACATGATGTTTAATTCCTAAATAGAGCCATCTTAGAATTTAATACAAAATGTCTGATCTGTTTTTTTTTTGTTAATAGACACTGCAGTGGCGGGAGCCTCCTGCATTGGGCTGCCTTTTTTTTTAATAAATTATCCAAACTTGTATAAACTATGACTTATAAATATGACAGTACACGTACGGAAACTACTTTGGTGTTATCTTATTGTCATATAATTTTATGGGGCCAACTAGGATGGAACCAACATTACTATTTCCAATTGTTGGCCTAGGTTCCTTGGAATCTAGCGGACGGTGCAACTCGGGCGGGTTGAAAGGTCAACCTAGACTCATCCTAAGTTACGATACCCCAACTTGAGCTCGATCTTCAACTCGAGTATTGCCCACTTTTTGATTGTTGAACTTGGATTGAGCTCAGATTACAAAATTCGGATTTATTTCTATCCAATACTTGAGTTGCATTTCATATTCCAGTTTGGATTGAATTCGGGTTAAGAATCAGGTTAAAGTAGAAACACAAAAACACAACACACAGCACAGACCACACACACACACACGCACACACACAGAACAGAACACCACAATCCACTGCCACACACTTTGCCAAACTCAAAGAAGAAAGAAGAAGAGATAGAGTAGGTGGCATGCGTGAGAAAAGAAGGGAGAGGGGAGGATGGAATAGGTGAAGTAGATGTTAAAAGATTGAGAGATGACAAATCAAAGAGAGTATGGAGATTTGCTCAAAAAGGTTTTCTGTCATTCCCTGAGGAAGGCCTTCTTGTAATATTGCGTATTCATCTTAAAACCTTGGAAGCATGATGCACATGGAAGGATCATGTATCTAATGCTTGGTTTCTAGAAATATAAGCTGAAGAATAGTTAGCATGTAAGACTATGAATGCATGTATCTCTCATATTTATATAAGCATATGCCAAAGTGTTATGCACATATATCATGAAGGTGCTGCATGTGCAGCATTGCAGATGGATGCATACACTGTTTTTGATATTTTTGATGTATAATTATATTTATTTATTTATCTTTTTAATAATAATAGTCATTTATTTTTCCTTGTTCTTCTTGTGGCTTCGGTCCTTCCAATTGAAGAGCTTGTGCTCTGGGCACATGATGTGGGGGCAAAAGTACTGGTGGATGCTTGTCAAAGTGTTCCACACATGTTGGTTGATGTGCAGAACCTCAATGCTGATTTTCTTGTTGCTTCTTCTCACAAGGTACCTTTCTACGATGTATCTAATGTCTCATCCTTACAGGGTAGTATTTAAAGTAAAGATATAAACATGATTCAGATGTGTGGGCCTACAGGCGTTGGATTCTTGTATGGTAAGAGTGAGCTCTTGTCGATCATGCCTCCTTTCTTAGGTAAGGCTTGTTCATTTAATGTACCTCAAACCATAGACTAATTGGTCTGTCCATTCTTCTGTGTATGGCGTGTGATGTTGACTGAAACATTGGGTTTGGTCAGCACAAGGTTCTGAAATTAGTTAATATTCGTGCCCAAATTCATAGGTGGTGGTGAAATGATTTCTGACGTATTTTTGGACCATTCTACTTATGCTGAACCTCCATCCAGGTTAGTCACTTCTTTCCAGCTTGGTTAAATTTAACCTTTATAATAATCAGGGAGGGAAGCACCAAATGATTTACTCCCGGTCTTTTTTGCATTAGGTGTGTGCGCCTGTAACTAGCTGGGAAACTTGGATAATGTTGAATCCTGCTTGGAAGTTTGATTGAAATAGGAGATTGGTATGGAGACATAGGATAAGAGTAGGACTAGGATAACAGAAAAACAGATGATAAGCAGTTTTTATCATAGAGGGAAACATGTTTAGAATTTGAAGGGGACACCTATTAAAACTTTGAAAATGTGACTCAGCTAGCTAAGGCATGGAGACATAGGATAAGAACTGTTTTCCCATTTGACCATTTTAATTATATGCAGCATTCCCTTGACTTATACAATTTTCTTTATTGAATTTCTTATTTTTTGTTTCCAAAAATTTTGCATGTCATTCTGCTTTGCAGTGGTGTCCTCAATATTCTATGCCAAAGATGATTCTGTTTTGCCCTTTTCCTCATTTGAGATCGTGAAGAAAATATACACACTCACACCCCATCCCAAAAGGATTCAGTTACATCCTTTCCATGAGGTGGACCCCACATGTACATGGATGGCCTGTGCCCTATAGACTATGATGATATTGTAGTTCCATTCCATACCTGTTGATGCAACTCATTTGACTACACCAAATCCTGATCCTTTTTGCAGTATTAAATGAGTATAGTAAGGGATTCATGTCCTTTCGCAGTTGTAAGATATTGAATTCATACCATTAGAGTGACTTATGAATAGGTAGCACACCTGAAAGATGAAACTGGTTTTTTTTGTTTTGGGGGGTGGGGGATGGGGAGATAATGGCCAATGAGTATACTTTCATACGTAATACAAAGTTACAAACTAGTATTACTCAATCAACAACTATAATGGTATCTGTACCTTACACCACAACACACCACTTATATGTCATAATCTCATAAATGAATCAATGTATACCAACAATCTAGGTCGTGAATCATACTCTCTTTGGGTCTTGCAAACCTGGATCATGAAATGCCTTTCGTTTGTTTGAGTGGAAATGAACCAAAATTTCGATCCTTGCCTCCTGCTTATTGTATATATCTTTCTTGCTATCACTTTTTATTTGTCATTTTAAAGATACACCCTATTCCCTCATTTGAAGTTCTAAATAGGGCATATACCAAAAGAAACAAAAGCACAAGCCAAAGCAGAGTGAGTTTTAAGTATGGTGAATTGCTGCTGTTTTCTGTCCAGAGTAGAGGCCTCGCCCATATGGTGATTTGCGGCTAGTTTCATCTCAATCATTGCTGCTTGATCCACAGTCTTATGGTACAAGTATACCCTCCCTAACCACTACTGCCTCAACTATACCTACTAAACAATACCTTTCACCATAATTGCCCTTCTTTTTCTTCTATGATCTTTGTCTTGACATTGGTTCCACGATTCTCGAAATAAGTAAATGATACAAAAGCATACTGAATAAAGTTTCATAACTTGTGCTTGAGTTCTAATTTTCTAATGATATGAAATGTGTTGTCATAAATCTTTGAAGTTGTCAAGGTATGTAGGAAGCTTACATGTCATTACTTTCCATAGCATAAATTCGGTACCTGCTATAGCCGCTGATGGACTATCTGGTTGTGAATTGTGATTATACATAAGTGGACCATTCTTTTGGGTCTAGTCCATGATTCGAAATGATCCATTTGTTTTCTGTAGGATTGTTGTTGGTGTGAATACTTGCAATGATTGGCCAAAAGACACCATGAGAAAAACATCACTAATGCTTGACTAAAAAATGCCATGAGGAAAGGAATAAGGATACAAAACAATACATCACTTGGAAAAAGGCACAAAGTTTTACTGAAGAAGATATATTTATTGTTGCGTGTTACTCACTTATAAGCTCATATGCTTGTAGTCATAAATGAGAAAAACTTTTATGATTCTTGCTCTTTCTGCCTTTAGCTGTAAAACGTTGTGTTGTTTTGTTGACTTTACTGCAATAATCATATGAGATTCCCAGTTTCATGACATTTCAAATCCATTCTGCAATTTTACTGGACCAACAGACTCCTATTAAATGACGAAGTCTACTTGCTGTAGCTCCACCACTTGGAACCTCAGGTTATCGTTCAGGCAATGAGGTACCATTCTAAATTACATGTTTGTTGTTCAATTCCACACATAAACTTGTGCTCAACACTTTGACTTACCTCTTATACTCATGTAACTCTCTTGCCTAGATAAAAGACATTAGCACTTGTGAATGTGTTTGATCTTCTTATGTCTGGTGAAGAGGCTGTTGAAATATTCTCTGTTTTCAACTTTCTTGTCAAAACTTTGCAGTCCATCTGACTTGGTATGCTGCCCTCTGTATCTGAGATTTCACGAACACTTAAATCTATTCCCACTGGTGTTTTCCCTTCTGTAATATGTTCTAGAATGGATACCACCTGCAGCGATGAATTATGTTAAGGTAAAAAGGGAAAAAAGAATAAAAAAAAGTCACGTACGACATTCATGATATTGCATAAACAAGGTATAAATTTTTTGTAAAAACTTCCATGTTAGGCCATGAGAGATTCTTAGAAGCATGTAAGTGCACCTCTTTATTCCCTGCAGAAGACTGTTTGTTGTTCTTAATGTGTGATTAGAAAAGGGTTACATGATATTGAAGATTATATTTTGGTTCTATCAGGGAATTCTTTATCTGTGTGATAAAGGGGTGCTAGAATGGAATTCCTAGATGTTAGTATTTGAAACTCGGATTGACAGATTGTGAATAAAATAATTCATTGTGCTTATGAGACTATGGAAAAATTTAGAAGTTGCAGGTTGCTTATATATCCCCAACAGAGCTTGGTTTGCATAAACACATCTACATATACGTGCGTGCTTGTATTTTCGTTCTCCTGTGACACAGGCAATTTACTGCATACCCTTTGCTTTAGCTTTGGGAGTTTTTGTTTCCTTTTACTATTTATAACAGGATAAATAACTCTTTGACCTGCTCAACTATGCCTCTTACTCACATTACCCTCCTAACTGCTATGTTTCTCTTTTCTCTCAATTATGGTTATTTGTTTCACATTGTCCCTATTGTAGATGTCAGTTGCAAATCAATTTATTATTTTTCGATTTATCGCAGAAAGTTAATGACACGTGGATATTTTCTGTCCAAAAAAAGAACAGAAATTTGATTATGAGATAATGTAAAACCCCTTCAAGTAGTTGAGGGGAGTAGAGGATGTGATGTGAAATCCGGGCCATGGTGTACATATACAAAATGTAATTTCCCTTTAGCCTAGTTCCACTCGCGTCACAAAAAAAGTTTCAACAATAGTCTTAGTTCTTTTAAGAAATTTCTGCCTAATCACATTTTTAGTTCATATTAAAAAGTTTTCATTGAAACAGTATCTGTGGCTGTCCTTAATAAAGTCAAAATTACCCTGATGCATGTGTACATATTTATCTGCCTGGATATGACTAAATGCTTATGTCTCATATTATACTGTTGATTCTGTAGTTCCTTTTGAGAAACATGCCACATGAACATTGCTTACCTTATCCATGGATAATCGTTTTTGGGGATCCTTGCTAAGACATTTCTCTGCTACTTGAACCATCCAAATGAGTGGTTGGTCATCATGGGACTTTGCAATTTTGGGGTCGATCACGTCGTGGTACTGTCTTTCTTTCAAAAGTGGTCTTGCCTGTAGAAACACGATATGAGTTTAGATGTAAGCTCCCTGGTGACTGCAGCAATGCTCATCATTGCACTGTTAGTTTGTAAACCCATTTTAGTTTTTGGTATATTTTGTGGGTTACTTTTTTAACAGGTATTACTTTTTGTCCCTAGTATTATGGTTTCTAGTGTCTTTTAGTAGATATCAAGGTCTCAAAAGGGTTGTATGAGTAATGTTAGTGTCACCAAAAGTCTACTGAATCTTGTAGACCAAATCTATCACTATCACAAAGGTGGCTGGCATTAACATCTGATGGTAATGTGTGTGCCACATCATTTAGTAAGCAAGCTTTGGTATAAACAATTGATAAGAGAAATATTTTTTGCTTGTATGTGTGAGGATCTGTAGCTGGAAAAATTGGTGCAGTGTGTGTGGTGTACCTGAAGATGGTTTTTCTGTCTGTTTTCGGATGGAAATTTCAGATAAGATGACAGTGCTACACATATGTAAAGTTATCTTTATAGCCGTTTCGTTAGTGATAACTACCAGTAGCTTTCTTTAATAAGCAAAAGGGAATTGGTGGTGTTGGTGTTGGTGTTACCCATCCCAGGAGGCTTTTCTCCTCAAGTCTCATATCTGTTGTACTCCGACCACTGATCAGTTCTAGTAGGACCACACCTAATGAGTAAACATCAGTCTTCGTTGATGCTTTCCCATTCTCTGTGTATTCTGGTGCTAGATAGCCAAAAGTCCCTATGATCCTGTTATCCAAGGATTCCTCCGGGTGATTTTGGGTTGTTGAGCTTCCAAAACCTCCAAGCTGATATATCAAAGTTAGTATATTTTCTTCCCCAGGACTCGAAAAAAGCAAAGAAATAGCAGAAGTAGTTGAGAAAGACAAAATAAGAAGAAATTAGGATCATTACCAGTGGTTCATGGTCATGAGTCAGAAAAATATTTCTTGGTTGTAGATCTCTGTGGATAATGTTGTTCTCATGCAGGTGGTTTAAGCCTTTGGATGTCCCCTGTGCAATTTTTATTCTTTGTTCCCAAGTTAGAGGTCTGCTCCTCTGCTCTGCATCTCATCACCAAATTTTGTGAGTTCTTTTCCAATGGTTGAAATTTGTGGGTTTTTGTATATTAATATTCATTTTTTCATTTTGTCAGGCATAGACTGGGCCAGGCTAACAAAAAATAACCTGGAGGCGAGTCCGCCCCAAACAGAAGTTTGATCTAGATTATATAGACCAGACCTGACCCCGCCATTGTCCTAGTCTTGTCCAGCCCAGTCCACGGCCTATGTTTTTAGTTTTTACATTATTTTATTTTTTGATGCTTAGTGTTTTTTAATTTTACCCATAGAAAATGTATTAAATAACTAAAATTTGTCAGGTCTTTTGAATGCATAGGCCACGACTCCAGCCAGCTCAACCTAGAACAGTGTCAGGCCAAATTTTTTTGCCCAGGTTCTGAAATTAGGTCAAATAGTATTAGCCCAAATCCAAAAAGATATAAATGTTTATGGTTGGGTCTGGCCAATCCATGGGCCAATGTTCTGGCCCAGACTTGACCTGAAACAGTGTCACTACAAATTTTTTTCCCAGTCTTGAAATTAGAATGTTCTCTCCCAAACCCTGAAATTTTCCAGGCTAGAGTGCTCGTGCTCCACGGCGCTCAACCCATGCCCTCTCCTTATTCTTCACAAGTTAATGAAATCAACTCAATTTTGTTGGAAGGGGGATTTGTGCTCTTACTTGCTAGATGTTGGTCCAGTGAACCATTGCACACATACTCATAGACAAGCAACCTGTGGCTTTCTTCTGAACAGGAACCCAACAGCATGACCACATTCTTATGTCTGGCTTTTCCAAGTGTTTGGACTTCTTTCCTAAATTTCTTCTCTTCTTGAAAACTTAAATCTTTTTGTTGCTTAACAGCAACTGTCAAAGTACTTTCTAGTTGACCTCTGAAGACAGCCCCATTTTCTCCTTTCCAAATCAAGTTTTCCTGAGAGAATCCGTTTGTAGCAGCTTGGAGGTCTGCATAAGAGAACTCTGTTGCCCATCCAATCTTTGGGGGCCTACTCTTACAGATTGTGCAGAGTGAATTATCCAACTCGTCTTCAAATTGCAATGGGAATGAGCCCATCAAATCTTCTCTACTTCTGCCTGGCATTTGGTTTGGATCTTTACTCATTCCATGAGCTTCAATTGGACTCATCTCTTTTATATTAGCGCTGGGATATAGATCTGCCACTCTCACTGTTTCTTTCATTGTTTTTGTTCTGTTTTCCTTTAGGTCGTGATGAAGACTGCAGATTCCATCAGTTGAACTTGCAGATTCCGTGCTTCCCAGGCTTGAAATCGACGCTGTAGTATCAACAATAGGTGTTTTCTTGGCTTAGGCTTTGCATAATCATGTAAGTTTTCACAGTTGTTTGTCAAAATTTTCTCCTTGAACTTCCTACCAGTGTTCATAGATTTGCTTAAACATTTATAGTCTATGCATCTATTTTCAAGGGAAACTCCAACAAACAGAAGCAATAAATAACCAAGTTCTTCTTTCTAATTGCACATGTCAAAAGAAATTAAAGAAGGGACTCATTAACTAATAAACAGTTGATGTGCCATAATGCTATAGCATTCCTGATAATTAAGTTGTGTTCTTTGTTTTCTCTCTGAATGATTTTAATGGAAAGAGTGATAAGTCTGCTAATTTTTTTTGCAGCATATTTAGATGAACTTGGTGCTGGAACTGGTATTTGATGCTTACTTGTGGGGCAAAGTTCTATACTGAAAAGATCTTCAGCCTCCAGTGATCCTGGTAACATTTCTTCATATGGTACTTGGTTGGAACGACTTCTTTCCTTGGAAAACCTGTTGGTTTCTATTGCTTTTGGTCTTCTTAATTCTTCTATGTTGTTATCACGCTTCATCCTTGATATTCCACATGAGAGCTTCTCTAGGAAGTACCTCTTATCTTTCTTCATTTGCCTGTACCAAAATTGCAATTAGACATAAAATCGGGGCACCTACTTTGTTTCCTTAACATTATTCACCCATGCTTTTAATTTTGTGCCTTCTAATAAGTAATAATAGGATCAGTCTGTTCCCCACTAATTATGTTTGATCATTTTGTTATAAGAGAATTATGTTTGATCAATTTTATAGGAAGATAACTTCAAACAATAAGCATAAGGTGCAGTATATTAGAAGGCATAAATGCTTAAGCAAACTGCAGACACAGGGCTGACAAAGTGGAAACTAAAACTGTATGAATCCATTAGTGAAAGTTTATTTTTAATTTACAAATCAATACCAAAAATTTTAGACAAAATTAGAACAGGTTAACAAGTCCACTAAATGACATAGGAAATGGAGTAATGGGAACTATTCTTTTAGAGGCTTGACCTGACTTGACCACTATATTAAGTTTTTATGACCAAAATACCAAATATATATAATTAACACTTAAAGGGAAATTATTTTGTTTGTTTAAATCATATGAGTAAAATGTTTTGACCCAAATAATAAACAAATAACTTAGCTTATTTTGTCATATGATATATTCTTTTCTTTTCTAATCTGCTCTTGATATTTCTTAAACAGTGTAAACACAAAGTAAATTTACCTATACCTTAACTTGAGAAAATATTGGACTGAGGGACTTAATTTTCATTCTCAAAGCTTATGCTACCCAAATTTGTAAGGTCAAAATGCTGCTTCACTTTTACCTATTAAGACATTGACCACATCTTGCAACCTATTGCGATATTTGTGCGTATCAAATTATATTCGGTTAAATGACAGGTTGGAAAATTTGGTGAATATTATACTTGTGAACTCTCCTTCAGATATTGGTAGCTTATATGTTGTTCCAAATTTCAATTTGTGTGCATTTGTAAATTATGGGTCTGAAGTGATGTCCTAAGTATATCTCATGGTTTTTAAGAGTTTTTCTTAGACATGATTTACATAATCATATGTTGTAATCACCAGATATACGCAAGTTGCATGCAGTTCACTCTTTGAGATGCAATAAATCATGGGATAGAGAAATGTGTTTGGTTATTTAACTAATGAATGTAAAATTTCCCATGTTGATAAACCATAAAGGTAACAATGCTTTTTCTTGTCACAGGCTAACATGTTTGTAATGCAGTGCATCAGAAAACATATATGAATCTTATGGTTAGCTTATTAGCTAGTTTCAGTTTCCAATTTCTAATAGTCACTAACCTTATCCCAATTTCATAACATTCTTTAGCATTTCTGACTAGCAAAATGTTCAAGCAACCAATAGAAGAAAACCAAAGCAAAACCTGCCTGTGCCACCACATTATTTTTCATGACTACTCTCTCCATACTAATGCCAACTTCTGTATAATGGCTGAATTGATTGTCTGACCTGTCTAATATCACCCATGTTGCCCTCAGTTTCTTGGCTGCTTCTAGAGCGACCACCTTTGGTGAAGGTCCCGCATCCACTTCAATGTTGAACTTAATCTGCAGTGATCATGCACTAAAGTGCTATTAAATTTGCACGATACTCTATTGTTACTGCCTTTTCTATTGTTCGAATGAGTCTGTTCCTGTACTTTTGTGCTTTAATAATTCATTTAATTAGCTCGTTATTTCATTTGACAGGTTCATACATAGATACCTTCAGTTATATTTTATGTAAAAGTGGCCATGACGTAATGGGCAGTCATTGGTTAATGTTAGAATGACTTTACTCATTTAGATGTTATGCTGAATATATCCTTACGATGATTACAGGTTATGTAACAATAAGCAATCTAGCATAGCAAAACGTGAAAATAAAAAAACACCCAACCCTGTTGGTAGAAAGAAAAATGACAATTCCTCTTTTGGCTCTGGTCTTCTTTCTTTTCATGTGGTTCAAGAGAGATTCAACCACTGGTTTTGCTAAGGACCACAGGGGTTCTACCAATGATGAAGGAATAGCCACACCTCTCACATACACATGGTAAATCTCTCCTAAATTCAGGGCAATGGTCAAACGAGAAGTATCGTCAATTGGACTAGACCCAACAAATGCATGTTCTAGTCGTGTCCATGTCTGTGTCCGTGTCCGTGTCCTACTTTTTTGAAGTTTTTATGTTAGTGTGTCCGTCTCATACTTTTTGGTATCTCGTGGCCATGTCTGTGTTTCATAAGACACCAAAGGCCTTCGATGTTCCTCCCAATACCCCTTGATCAAAAACATGGATACCCAATAATTGAAAAGTGATTCTGATCAAACATTTCCTCTCTCTGAAATAGAGCTTAGTTTCTCCATAATAGTTTATTAGTAGAAGGCTTAGGTTGTGATTTGATCTAATAGAGTCAGAATACCTTTATATCTAAAAGAAACAATGCTCGATGAAATGATCCAGATTCCACAGTATTATGTGGGCACAAAGAGAGTTACTTAGCAAAGTTGTATGTTCAGTGTTTTTATGGAGGAACCAGTGTTATCAAAATTAGACCTGGTGAACTGGACTCTAAATCGTTCAATTGTACTATTAGATCGTCTACGTAATTGAACCGTAAGAACTTACCGATTTTTGAATAAATTGGCAAAATCGAGCAGTTTGAAGAACCTGGGCAGTTCAAAGCTGAGTAGTATAAAAAATCCCAATTTGGGCAAAATTTAACCTAAATCATCTAATCTCATCTCTCCTCTCACATACCAACCAAGATGGACGCCAGCAGCCACTCGATTCTTCCTCTCCTCTGACCCCTCTCTCTCTTCTGTTCAGTTAGATCACTGAAGAGCTGAAGATCCTTCACTCTTCCATGTCCATTAGCCAATTAGGACTCCTCTGCGGTGTTTCATGTGTGAGTTCCTATGGTTTTGTGGTCCCAAGTTCAATAATAGGGGCTTTATGTTTGTTGGCTTCATGAGAGGTCGTTAGTGACAGCGGTAGGTAAAGAAAGGGGAAAGGGATTAGAAAAAGGGGAAAAATAAAATGAAGATGGGGGAGTGGAGAAAAAAGTGGAAGAGAAGAAGAGGCACTATAAGTGATTAGGGAGTAGGTGATAGTGACGGTAATAGGTGATTAGGGAGTAAATTGTGGTCTTTTATAAATATCATATTTTTTTAGCTTATTTATTATGTTTATATATATATATTTATTTATTTATTAAACCACTGGTTTGACTAATTGATTCAACGGTTGAACTAGTGACGCATAAACTCGATCCCCATAACGGTTTGATGTCTGGTCCGTTTTCGAAAGAAATAGAAAGAGACTTAAAAAAATAGTGACGGAGTGATGGGAAACCTTAATCTATATGTTGCTAGAGTATATAAGCACTAGTTAAAGCTTTTTTCTCTCATCAACATTGTAGAAGTTGCTCTAAATTTGAGACATTATGCATGGATACACACACACAAAAAACCTAATCCTGTTCAGTGATTTCAATTGGTTTCAATTGGTTTTCTGCTCTATTTTTTTGTTCAACTTTGTGCAAATTCTTGGAGGCTTGGTAAAATGGGGCATATGAATGTGTGGCGAGAGAAATTTGGTCATTAAGAAAGTCAAATTCTAGGGAAACAAATCAAGCCCATGCCAACGTCACATTTCTGGCGTGGTGCATAATTTCTGTCGAGTGGTATGGAAACTTAATAGTTTTACTATTCTTCAAAAACACAAGGAGGTCGCTTATATTTCTAAAACACTATGGGGGTGTTTCTAGACCAAACACAAGTAGGGGTATCCATGGGCCGGGCTGAGCCTGTAAAATTTTTTTCGGACCGAGCCTGGTTAGTGTAAGCCCAAATCCTTACCCAAGTGAGTTATCGGCCGGGCCGGACCGAGCTGGGCTTTGGGTAGGGGTAAGCTACCCTTAGCCCAACCCATGAGCCTATTGGGCGGGCCAGCTTGTGGGCTTTTTTATATATATCTTTATTTAAAAATAATGAATATTTTTGTAACTTAATATTTGTATAAATTATATTTTTGAATCAAAAGTAAAGTCAAAATGGATAAAAATAAAATAATGGACTACATCCAATAGAATGAGTAAATCCCAACTAGGTTGACACCTACTAATTTATCTGTCATTTGCATTACTCTACCATTTAAAACTTATATGCTTAAGACATGGAAAAGAAAATAATACATTATTTATAAGATCTAAATTTTTAAAACTTCAAATTTTGATTTTGGGAGACTTATTTTAAAGTTTCAAATTTAATGGTTTAAAAGTATAACTTTTTTTCAAAAGAAGGGTGGGTGGGATGGGCTTGACGGGCGGGCTCTTGGGCCTGGCTTCGGGCTATGTAATTGGTTTGGGGGCGAACCCAAGCCCTCTTTTTAAGGATATTGGGCTCAGGTGAGTCAACTATCGGGCTTCAGGCCTATTTTTTTCGGGCCGGATAACGTGACCCATGGATAATCCGGCCCATGGACACCCCTAAACACAAGGGTATGAGACATAATTACCCATGATAAAAGAAATAATAAGTATGTATGCATAAATTTGTGGCCTAAGTGGAGGAATACAGAATTTTTTTTTTTTTTTGTTGGGCCCTAAAATAAGCGTCTTAATATTTTGTAACAATTCAAGTAAAGTTTTGTAGCTTGGTTTTTTTACTTAATTCTCATTTGAATGCTTAATTCATTTATTTTGTGTTGGCAACTTGAATACTACTCCATGTTTGCAGCCTCGGTGCATTTTGCCTCAACTATGTTACTAATGAAAGTAAACAGGGAATATAATGGCAAGTTTTCTATCTAATAGAACCTTCTGCGTTTCATATATCTTTGAAATCTGAGTAAGCTCCTCATTGTTTTGGTACTCTTCTTTTATCCTTGCCACCTCGTCATCAACAATTTTCCGGTTTGGTCCGAATATTGAACTATCCACTCTGCTTCTATACCCCACTGAAATGAAGGGAAAACAGAAAAATCACAAAGAAGTCAATAAACAATATAAGGATGCAAAAGTTCGAGTGTTTTTTCTTTCAGTTGACTATAGCAACAGATTATTCTGCTTTCTTGTTCGTAAATATGTACATTAGAAATCCTGTTGTTTGTCATTTCTTCAGCATCATTCTTATTTCTTCCTTTAAAAATTGAAAGTAATATAAAGCTTACACATTTTCCCAGCTCTCACGAAAGATAACGTACTAGGATTATTAACCTGGTGAAGAATTGAAATGAGGGTAAGCATATCCCCAGGCTTCAAGGATAAGCCATGCCGGATCCATTTTATGGCAATCAAGCAAACTTCTCTTGATGCATCCTGGATTACCACCACCCTTTGAGTCTCCATGAACAATCCCTGGCTGTTTGAAACACTTGCTTCTTGAATTACCACAAACAGTTGCACATATGAAAGCTAAATCAAAGCCAGTATGAAAATTCAGATTAAAGGATTATGTAAGTTTTGACACAGTTGTTGCAAATAATAAATGTTGCAAATAATAAAATTTTGAGTTGTAATACCAAGATGTTTGACAAGCTTTAGCAAATATTTCTTGTTTATTTCTCGGAAACTGCTTTTTTTTTCCTGAGTCCTGAGGTTATGGAATGAGCATGCATGAATTTTGAAGTAAGAATATATGCAGGGTATGAAAAGCTGAGAATTGCTGCAGACCAACAAAGAGCCAAGTTCCTGTCTTTTAAAGAATCAGTGAGAAAGGGTAAGTCTTTAATGGGAATCTTGCAATAATATGTGGTTGGTGAATCCAGGAAAACGTCTCTCTAGTTAGTTCAAGTGCATATTCGAATATGCGAAGGGGCATTTTTTCCTGTGTTGTTCTTGCTGAACAAGAAGTTGGTTCTTAGGTATTAGCTTATTGTTAAATATTGTTAAGACCAAAGTACAGCATCATAGTCATTGTCTACTCTTGGCTGTGTGTTTTTGGCAGAGAGGACAGATGGGGTTTTCAGATGAAAACAATGCTTTCTTCCTCAGTACAATTGTTTTCAGTTACAAGTTTGTTGAGTTTGTGGGAAGGGAAGGATCCAGCAGATGTTTTTGGAGAAGCTGCCTCTGTGGCTTAGGATTGCAACATGATTTGTTACTGATTTCTACGGTATATGGAAAGACTAATATTACTTGGACCAAATTTACCGACCGAAGAAAACTAACAATATATATTATGATGATTAAGTTGTGAGAGAACTAACAAACTCTATAAGGAAAAAAAGAAGCGGCATAATTTAAAAATTAATGTTACATTTGATTGATGCAATTTCAATTAAACATGTTTATCTTGTTAAATTTGAATTATTCATGTCTAATTCGTTTATTATTCATGTTAATATATTATCGTTTTTGAATTTATGATGAGAATTAATTCAATTCTAATTTACTAATTTTGTATCAATTTCGTATTAACATGTGTATTACTGAGATAATCACGTTTTGAGTTTTATACCGTTCCCACTCAAACAGAGTTGGACAAACCCACACCTTTCGTAGTGCACGAGGCCAGCTGTGCAAGATGCATTCGATACGAAACGTTCCAATATCACTCTATATGGAGCTATGAACAATGGTTATATTATATGCCTTCCCAGAGGATGGAATATCTAACTATATAATAAATTAGTGGGTTGAATTTTTATCCCTTATATATTTTTTTCCTAAAAATCATTACATTACCCAATTCTATTACATGTTCAGTCATTTGATATTTAATTAATTTGTAATTTAACACAACTTTTACTGTATACATTATTCATACACGATAGTGTATACATGTTGAAAATTTTTATCTGAGTAATGCATTGAGAAAATTTTGATTTATTTTTAAGAAAATAATATGTAGAATTAATTTTAAATGATGTAAACAAATAAATTAATTTTAAATTTGGTATAGTGGGATCAATTTTTTAAAAATTAGAATCTTATATTTTATTGTGCTTTCAAGTACGGGTTATAACTAGTATATTTATATAATAAAGTACAATATAATTCAAATTTAAAAAGATAAAAAAAATGATTTTTACTTTTAGTGGTTGATATCTCTTTAAATTTTACTTTAAAACTAATTCGACGACTAATATTAACATCTTAAATTTAATAAGAAAAATATGTCTCTAAATGTGTGCTTAAGTAATTTTTTAAAAATGTTTCTAGAACTTATAATTTTACATAAATACTTTAAACAAAAATAGTGTTTGGAATCGTCTCACCACCATCACTACCACCCCCCCATCGCCCCACCACCATCATCACTACCATCGCCATTATCGTCACCCTAATGCCACAACTACCCCCACCAGCACTAGCACCCCCACCGCCCAACCAACACCCCCACCACCATCAACATTATCACCACTGCTGTCACCCCACCACCACATCTGCCACCACCACCATCACCCCCCCCCCACCACCACTGTTGCTACCCCGCAATCACCGCCCAACCACCACCACTGCTGTCCCACCATCACTCCTACTACCCTCACCTCCCCACAATCACCACCGTCACTGCCACCACCCCACCAATACTGTCGCTGCCACCTAACCACCATCACCATCGCCACCCCTTCCCCTCCACCACCTTTGCCATAACCACCATTGCCACTCACCGCCAATTACTATCACCGTCGTCTACCGCCACCACTCACCACTATCATCATTTTATTCTTATATTTATTATCATACCATTGTCGCCCATCGTCAGCGCCCACCACCACCCACTACTGCAATCCATCATTACCCATCGTCACCCACCATCGTCTTCAGCCACTATCACCTACCCCCACCACACCTAGTATCATTACTACCATCGTCATTTGTCACCACCCATCACACTACCACTCAGAAACACCCGTTATTGCCCACCATCATCATCGTCAATGCCCACCACCGTTGTAGCCCCACCACCACTGTCGTCAGCCATGGTTGCCATTAGCACCATCGTCATCCAAAATCCACCACCACCATCATTGTTGTCACCCACGGCTGCCACCACTACCACAACCATCATTGTCTCCCATCACCACCATTGCCGCTCACCACTGCTCACCCTACTACAATTGGTACTTAAATTCTTTTCTCTACCGCCCGCTCCATGCACGAATTCACATGCTCATTTTACTAAATTCATGCCTTGACTTGGTTATGTAATTACTCGTTATTATTCAAATTTTCATTTGGCTAGTGCTTGTTCATGCCAAATGATATGTATCAAATTAGAATGTTATTTATAATTTATGATAGTCATTTTGGGACCTTATAATTAAACGTATATTTAAAAAATAAATAATTTGTCAAAGGGTTTTGCGTAGAGTTTAATATTTTAAATGATTTTTTATTAACTTTTATGAGTGAATGTGTGTCTGTGTGCATATAATATGACGCTCTTCAATCGTGCTCACTCTAAGTGTTTTTTTTTTTAAAAAAAAATTTAGCCATTTTTGCACTCCCGTCTCCACTCCTATATGTGATCTGGTCGTGCTGTACATAATTAGACCAACCTGTGATTTGCCCCAACATTAAAAAAAGGGAGGAAAACTTTGTGCATTTCTCACTTGAAAATGTGTCACCACATTGCAATACTAAAATGTTGAATCAAGAATCATTAACTCAAATCATCATTTAATTAAGAGTTAAAAAGTAATGCTATGCTGACAAATTTTGGGACTAAATTTAGAGTCCAAATGACATAACAACTGACTTGAATTTTTTTATTAGGTGATATGTCATTTGGACCCCAAAATAAAAAGTCCAAATAATATGCTATCATATCATTTGGACTCTAAATTTGGTCAGCATTTTAATAAATTCAAGAATAAAAAATTATAAATGGTCCTTAAACATTGTAATCTATTTTAAAATGGTCCATGAACTTTCATTTATTTCAATTTGATCACCGAACTATTTACTTTGTTTCAATCACATCTTTCCGTCTGTTTATATCGTTAAACCAAACAGACGGGCAATCACATGCCTTTCAGTTGACTGTCACTTGCGTTGTTTTGACACCTAACTTCCGTTCCATTCCACCTTCATGCTGCAGTACATAAGGACTCTGTTCAGCCATGAAAAATAAAGCATCGACTGGGCATGAAAAAGAAGGGGAATTAGAGTAAAAACAAAGGAGAAAAATGAGAGAAAACATGGATATTTATTGTGATTGCGGGTGAAGGGCAGTTCTGAAGACCTCTTGGATCGATCAAAACCTAGGAAAGAGGTTTCTTACCAATCACATTACTATGCTGAATTTCATCTGCTAAACTGTTTAAATTCTTCGTAGTTATTTACACAGAACCATTGAAAGCTATAGAAGGTTGGTAATTTCTTCGCCTGGTTTGACTCCCCTATGTTTTTTAACCGCACGTCAAATAATCACAATACTACTGAAAAAAGCTAGGGTGTATAGGTATTTCCTTGATGATTGTACAGGTTGTATGCACTTATAGCCATGATGAAGTTGGAATAAGTAGCACATATTAGCCAACTTGGCTTGGGTGTGAAAGCCACTTCGATGTTACATGCTTGTTTTTCCATGCCCAGTTAGTGTGCTCACCAAATGTCTTGATATGAAATGTGTCCTCATATTGTTTTTTTTTTTTTTTATGCAAAAGTTAATCATTTACAAGGTGGCTTGCATGTGACCCTTACCCTTTGCTTATCATTTTAACAAACCTCATATCCTTTCCCTTCCAAATGACATAATTTCTTACAGCTTCAGCATCCCTAACTTGAACACAGGCTTTCACATGTCTTTTTTCTGGTCTAAATTATGAAAATTTAGGTTTTTTACTCTTCACTTCATCATCAACAGAAGATGAATTGCCCAAGCACCAAAAGATCATCTAATGTGCATAATCTGATAGCACATCAGCTTCATCTGATGGTGCAGACACATGTGAGTGATTAGTATTTGTGGCTTGCTTTACAATATTTTCACTTAGGCCACCCCAAATAAGACCTCATCAGCCATTGCATCATCATTATCATAAACCTCGTCCTCACTTGATGTTTCTATGTGATCATTTTTTACATCCATATCATTTTCAGTGTTAACCCCCATCTTCTATCTTCAGTCATTGTCCTATAATGTTCCAAGTATAATTCGATCACTCTATTTTTTGGAACCCATGATAACATCGACAACAGATCACTACCACTCTTAAAAATCCCAACCCATCGTCAATATCCAATCCAGACACCTTATAATTATAAGCAGCAACTTCATCACAACCTATTTCTTTCACCATATCACTTATCTAATGGATAAACATCTTATCGGGGTCACAACGATCGATATATCTAGTGTTCCCACTTGTGTACACCCAAGGAGGTTTGCACTCGAATTTGCCATCATAATGCATTTCTATACTAAAAAAAATTAGAGTTACTACCTGCATAAAAATATTGAAAAATGTTTCACATTGCATAATAAAATAACAATAACATATTATTTTAAGGATTAATCTAAATAAAAAATAGAGCACTGAATAATAAAGAAATATCCAAATCCTTTTTATTTTTTATATGTTTTTATCTGTGCATTTTCTTAGTATTTGATCTATCGGTAAAATCAACAGCCAAACAGAGGTTGAACAGGTGGACAGTTTACCTGTGCTTCTACAAATACAAATTGATCATTATATGCTAGGTAGTGCACATGATA